ATTATATAAAATTCAAAAAGTTTAAATAAGAATAATCAGAAAAGTGTATTGAAACATTTAAAAAATAAATAAGAACGTGTATGTGAATGAGGATTTTAAAAAGTTCTTCCAGATATTAAAACATACTATAAAAATAATATAATCAAATAGCATGACACATGTGGGTAAAACTAATCTATGGCATTAGAAGGCAGGGATAATGGCTACAGCTGAGAAAGTGAACAGAAAGGTGGCAAAAGGTGGCTTCTGGAATTTTTGGAATGTTCTTTTATTCATCTGGGTACTGGTTACACAGGTATGTTAATGCTCCAAAAATTCAGAGATGCACAATAATGGTTTGTATATTTTTCGGTATATCTTATATATTATATTATATATATTTGCATACCTAGTACATATTTGTCCTGGTGGCACAGTGGTTACAAGCTGGGCTGCTAAACAAAAAGTCAACAGTTTTAATCGATCAGCCGCCCCTTGGAAACCCTATGGGGCAGTTCTACTCTGTCCTACAGGGTCACTATGAGTCGGAATCAACTCGACGGCAATAGGTTTTTTTTGGAAACCAGGGTGTCGTAGTGGTTAAGAGCTACGGCTGCTAACCAAAAGGTCAGCAGTTCGAATCCACCAGGAGCTACTTGGAAACCCTATGGGGCAGTTCTACTCTGTCCTGTAGGGTCGCTATGAGTCGGAATCACCTCGATGGCAACGGGTTTGGTTTTTGTTTTTTTTTACGTGTACAGAACCCACTGCCACTGAGTCGATTCTGACTCACAGCGACCTTATAAGACACAGTAGAAGTGCCCCACAGGGTTTCCAAGGAGCACCTGGTGGATTCGAACTGCTGACCTTTTGGTTGGCAGCTGGAGCTCTTAACCTCTACACCACTAGGGTTTATGATCTGTACATCTAGCATATATCAATAAACTTTATCAAAAATAAAACATACTGTAGCTTCAATTCTATTCCAGTACATATCTTTAAATCCTTAACGATGAAAAATTAATAAAATCTTGAGGGCAACAGAATACAATTTACCTACTCAAAAATTAAACACAAAAATTAATTTGCTTGGGTGGCACAGTTAAGTGCTTGACTACGAGCCAGAAGACTGGTGGTTCAAACCCACCCAGAGGCACCTCAGAAGACAGGCCTGGCAGTCTGCTTCCAAATGGTCACAGCATTGAAAACCCTATGGAGCAGTTCTACTCTGCACACATGGGGTTGCCATGAGTTGAAACTGACTTGATGGCAACTAACAAGAACACCTAGAAAAATCAAACAAGCAGATCTGATAGTGTAGTATAGAACACTGAAAACTTACTAAAGAAGCTCTACGAGACCGTCGACTCATTGGTTGATCAAATGGTGGGCTGTTTATCTGCAACTTTTCAAGATATCCATCAGGTATTCTGATATCTGCAGGCAATGATAATCGCTTATTTAAATCCTAAAGAAGGAAAAATAAACAAGTGTCATTCGCCTTCATGAAAAATTTCAAATGTGTATTTGCTCTATTTGATATGTGTGTGCGTTTGTTTACATACACAAGCGCACACACATGCATATTTATATTTTAAAAATGGTTACCTCCATTGAGATTCGTCTATGTATACGATTTCTAAGACAAACACCTGTAGGGGACTGGACTTCATCAGATGATGTCCCAGAAGCTTGATCACTCTCACCATCTGACCCCATTTTTAAATTTTCATGAACAATATCTGTAACAAGAAATCAATCATCATCTATCTTAAAAGAGATGTAGTATATGCTACAATATCATGTAGTTTATCTTTAGCATAGGTAAGAGGTAGAGAGCTGACATATAAACATCACAGCATAAAAAACCTTTTACATTCTGGGTGCCACAGATTATGCAGTTAATAGATCAAAACATAATTCACAAAGCTTAAAATAGTATTAAGGAATCCTTTTACACTCTCAGATTACAAAAAATTATGGGAAAAACTACCAAACAATTCTATCAAGAGTTGAGTAATAAAATTATAGACTGGAAATAATACTTCAAGATTATTTAGTCAGTTCTCTCATCTTCCAGATCTGGGAACTGACACTCTGGAAGATCAAATGATTTTGCAATGGTCACAGAGCTTCCAGCAGAACTGGAATAGAAACCTGGTCTTTTGTTTCTAATTTAGTTTAGTATTCTTTCTATTAAATAAAGTGTCACTGCCTCTACATGTCAAGTGGAGCTAGTTCTTTGGATAGTCTTTTAAAAAACTTTTTAAAAGCTGATAATGTGGCTTTTCTCCTCTCACCCTAAAGTCTTAAAAAAAATTCAAAATTTTTTCACTGAATATCTACTTTGTATAAGAACTACAAAATCAATTTTCTGACCTCCAAAAGCTCAAAAATCCATTGGAGGCAAAAACATGTTCAAATTAAAATAAAATGTGGGGTATGGCATATGTTTTAATATAGATAACAGTTAAAGGAAGTACAGACAAGGGAGATTAATTCCATTTGAGAATATTAAAAACAAACCTGTATTCTTGTATACTTGGTCATATATTTGCAACTGTTAATCATCCTCTAAATCGTCTAGCAAGAGCAGTTTGCCAGAAACAAATGGTAGATCTCAAACACATCTCTTGCCATTATCCTCTCTATATGTTATATGCAATTATTCATTCCTCAAAAAACATCATGCTGTTTCATGCCGTTTTTGTCTTGGTGACACAAGATTGAGAAAATTCCTATTCGTGCTGATAAATAGCTGAAAATCATAATGGTTTTCAACAGCTCACTATGTAATTTAAGGATACACTGCAATTAAACAGAGATGTCTGGAGAAAGTTTATGCTGAGATCTGAGTAAAAATTAACTTAGCAGCAAAAGTCAGTATGTTGGTGATTGATTCCTAACGTGAAAATTTGGTATCAGACACATCTGAGGAGATGTATTCTTTTTTGTCACATTTTTAACAGGTTAAAGATAATTTAAGTATGCCTTCAATTTCTAGCGAAATCTGAAAATCTTCCTTCCCCAAGGAAATGCTGTACAAAACATAATAATACTTTTAAATGCATAGCTGAGTTTGCAAGAAAGTGTGGGCAATCCCCAGGAAGCACAAAACAAAGAGAGAACTGAAAAACCAAAGCTGTTATGTTTAAATTGACTCTGTCACTTTCTTGGGAGGGTTTGCTGATCTTGGTAAGAAGGTGCCTGGGTTTAGCTGCCGCACTTGGATAAGTCATAAAGCCTTGGGTGTCTGAGTTAGAAATGAGAACCTCCCATATAAAAAGCACAACTCTCAAAGTGCTACATTTTCAGTAAAGAGCAGACTGTTAAAAAAAAGTTTGCCCTATCACACAAAGACTACACAGAAAGCTTATTAATCTCAGACTATGAATAAACACTTGAGTACCATCTGACTCAACCAAGGAATTGTCATTAACAAACAAGTGTAGTTCTGATGAGACTATTGGTTGATATTTTCATTTTGGTTAACAACTAAGATAGAAGTAAAACAATGAAGGCTTCTGTCAGAACTTCACTTGTTTGTCAAACGTGTGAGTAACTTCTTTCCTGAATCAAGTAATAGTGTCTTTTATGTACTTAAAGAATATTTATTTGCTTAATTCTTGTGCCATTCACAATGTAACAGCTACAGGCACGCATACTTTTAATGTACTACTAACATTTTCAATATCAATTTCTTAAGTCTAGACCAGGGGTCAGCACATGTGGCCTGTTTTTGTATGACCACTGAGGCTAAAATGGTTTTTGCATTTCTAAAGGATTATAAAATAAAAGAAGGATACTGCAACAGAGACCATATGTGACCCACAAAGCCAAAAACATTTACTACGCGGCCCTTTAGAAAGAGTCTGCCAACGCCTGGTCTAGACAATCAACCCTGATCTGTAGTTAAGCCCTGTAGTCAAGTCAAGCTCCAATCTGTACTGTTTTCTGATTTCTGTGGTGTAAATACTCCCTCCATGGGATTTCAAGCTACCACCATGACATCACAGAAGATGTTTAAAAAAACAAAACCAAACCAGTTGTTATCGAGTCGATTCCAACTGAACATGTAGTTGGGAAGAAATGTGCAGTAGCACAATTATGAAGTATTTGAATATACAGATACAACAGAAATAAATAACTTTGAAAGCATAGATAACAGTGAAATAATTAGGAAATAATGAGTTTAGAGTATTTACTACCTCTGCTTTTAATTTAACGTACTTAATTGTATGTTTATATAATTTAAATTTTAATAATGGCTATATTTAACAACCAGCCTACAAAACTGCTGAAAATTCAACAATCATCTTTCCAGTGTTAGTCAGCTCCAGCACACCACTGGTAGAGGTATACAAAAGAAAACCTTTCTGTAAGGTTTCTCCTGTAGGGATAATGGCTGCACAAGTTTCCCATATATAAAATTTCAGTGAAAATAAGCTCATACTCCAAAATTAATGAAACATGTGAGGAAATAATTTACCATGGCAAGAGTAAGCATATAAGGTAAGCAGATGACTAAAACCCTCAGGAACTTCAGAAATAAATATCATCAAAATAAATAAATAAATAAACAGAACAGAAACTTGCAGATATGTGTTTTTGAAAGGACAGAGTGATATCACAACTCAGGTGATAAAAATATATACTAATTATTACACTGGGCTGTAATATTGTGATGATCTCTAGGGTTACTAAGGTATGACCTTAAGTTAAACACCATCCCAAGGAGCCATTCATCTTGAAATCTGGTATCCATCTCTTAAGTGTTTTTGTTTCCTTCTTGGCAGACAGGTTTTCAAATATGAGATTTCTGAAGTGTGAACATTACTATCTCTCTATAACCTTTCTTCTTTCTGTTATTGCTCCTATCCTCACCTATCTGACAAGAGAAACTGGACAACAAGGTTGGCTGACTTCCATATAATGAAAACCTAAATATATAAATGAATTACAATCAGAAGGTTAAATAATCAAATTACCTAATCTGCTTCCATTTCTGGGCATTGCCATGAAGGAGCCAAGGCTTCCTCCAATAACGCTGTGTGGTCTCCGCAATGGGGGCTTCTTGAAAGACCCTGTGTACTGGTGGAGGAAGGAATGCATACTGTGAGACGTTGGTGGCCTGCCATTCTTCACAATAGGTTCTGTGGTTCACAGTATTCAAGTATCATTCCATTAACAGCCCAAGATCCAGGATCACATGAGAAGGATAAAGAAAGCAAAACAGAAAACAAAGCAAAACATTATAAGAGAAGTCTTTATATTTAACCTCATTTCTTTAACTATCCACACAAAGCACTAGAATTAAAATGATTCCTATGAGAATGTACTTACAGAAAATAAATACACATTGTTTTTATATTTGAGGTTGGTCTAATAAATTATAATCAAACTCGGTTAGTAATCACAAAACTACTAATAAAAACTCACTGATATTTGATCCATCTGCTTATTTTATCTTCAAGATTGCTTCCATACTAGTTCTACATTTACTGACTGCCTACTATGTGCCCATCTCCATGATGACGCATGCTCTACACTATAAAAGACATGGCACTAGTCTGAAAGAGTTTATCTGCTAGACATTCAAAAAGGTATGTCAATTAGTGAATAAAACAGAAGTACTTAACCACAGATCAAAACAGAGCTAAAATTTACTCCTCCAAATTTGGGATTTTTAATATAAAAATCACAGACCTTTAACCAAGCAGAAACATTTTACCAACATGGTGTCCTTTTCTAGCTATTGGTATTTCCTGATGACGTGTCCAAAGTAAGCAAGACAAAGTCTCGCCATCTTCACTACTAAGGAACATTCTGGTTATATTTCTCCTAAGACTAATTTGTTCATTCTCTGGCAGTCCACAGTATATTCAATATTCCTTAACAACACTACAATTCAAATTCATCGACTCTTCTTTTGTTACCCATTTTCACTGTCCAGCTTTTGCATCATATGAGGTGACTGAAAACATCATGGCTTGGGTCAGGCACACCTATTTTATCAAAGTGACATCTCTGCTTTTTAAAACTTTAAAGAGGTCTTTTGCAGCAAATTTGCCTAATGCAATACGTCGTTTGATTTCCTAACTACTGCTTCCAAGGACATTGACTGTTGATCCAAACAGAATGAAATCTTTGACAATTTCATTTTTTTCTCCATTTATCATGATGTTGTTCAACGGTCAAGTTGTGAGGATTTTCGCTTTCCTCATATTCAGGTTTAATCCATAATGAAGGACATAATGATCTTCATCAGTAAGTGCTCCAAGTCGTCTTCATTTTCAGCAAGCAAAGTTGCATCATCTGCATATTGCAGGTTGTTAATGAGTCTTCCTCTAATCTGATGTCATGTTCTTTTTCACATAGTAAAGCTTCTCAGATTACTTGTTCAGCATACAGGTGGAATAAGTAAAAAGAAAGGATACAACCCTGCCACAATCTTTTCCAATTTGGAACCACACAGTATCCCCTTGTTCTGATCAACTGATTGCCTCTTGATCCACGTACAGGTTCTGCATGAGCACAATTAAGTGTTCTGGAACTCTCATTCTTTGTAATGTTATCCATAATTTGTTATCATCCACACAGTTGAGAAAGCTTCTGCATAGTCAATAAAACACAAGTAAACTTTCTGATATCCTATGCCAAGATCCATCTGACATCAGCAATGTTATCCCTTATTTCACATCCTCTTCTGAATTGGGCTTGAACTTCTGTCGATGTATGACTGCAGTCGTTTTTGAATTATCTCCAGCAAAATTTTGCTAACATGTGACATTAATGATATTGTTAAATAACTTCCACATTCCACTTGATTGCCTTTTCTTTGGAATATGGAGCTTGCCAGGTAGCTGCCTTCCAAATTTCTTGACATAGATGAGTTAAGTGCTTACAGCGTTGCATCCATCTCAACTGGTATTCTGTCAATTGCTGGAGCCTTGTTCTTTGCCAAAGTCTTCAGCTCAACTTGAACTTCTTCCTTCAGTATTAGCAGTCCTTAATCATATGCTAACTCCTAAAATGGTTGAACATCAACCAATTCTTTTTGCTACAGCTGACTCTATATATTCCTTCTATCTTCTTTTGATGGTTCCTGCATGATTCAATTTTTTGCCCATAGAATCCTTCAGTAATGCAACTCAAGGCTCTAATTTTCTCTTTAGTTCTTTCAGTTTGAGAAATGTCAACGTTGTTCTTCTCTTTTGGTTTCCTAACTCCAGGTCTTTGAACATCTCATCATAATACTTTACATCTTGTATTCTCGAGCCGCCCTTTGAAATCTTCCGTTCAGCTCTTTTACTTCATCATTTCTTCCATTTACTTTAGCTACTCTGTGCTTAAGAGCAAGTTTCAGAGTCTTCTGACATCCATTTTGGTCTTTTCCTTCTTTCCTGTGTTTTCAATGGCCTTTCATTTTCTTCATGTGTGATGTCCTCCTACAACTCTTCTGGCCTTTGGTCATTAGTGTTCCATGTGTCAAATCAATTCTTGAGATGGTCTCTAAATTCAGGTGGGGTGTATTCAAGGTTGTACTTTGGCTCTTGTGGGCTTGCTTTCATTTTCATCTTCAACTTGAACCTGGCACAGAAGCAACTGATGGTCTGTTCCTCAGTCAGCCCCAGCTCTGTCTTGACTGATAATATTCAGTTTCTCCACTGTCTGTTTCCACATAAATAAAACCAAAAACCAAACCCACTGTTGTCGACTCGACTGACTCATCGAGACCCCATAGGATTTCCAAGTCTGTAAATCTCTACGGCAGCAGACTGCCACATCTTTCTCCCGCGGAGCCGCTCGTGGTTTCGAACCACCAGCCTTTCTGTTAGCAGTTGATCGCTTTAACATAGTTACATTAATAGTTACATGAACAGTGGCATAATAAACAAACACAATGGGATAACACAGCATATAATAAAGTTTGTTTGATTACCTGTTTCAATTCTTTTGACTATATCCCTAGTAGTGGGATTACTGGGTCATATGGTAATTCTATATTTAACTTTCTGAGGAAGTGAGATGAATAAATTTTTGAATTTTTTAAAAATTAAATACTCAATACATTCTCAGTTATTAAACAGAAATCTAGTGTGCTCAGAATTCTTTTTCCTTGCAGGTACTTTAGAAATAATATTTCTTACATTCTAGTTTGTAAAATCTTCTGCAAAAATTACGTATCGTATTGAGCTAAAACTGTATTAAGGTCAGTATGCTTAAATCAGCCAAGTTTATAAACTTTCGACTTATTTTTAACACGTTATTATTGTTAGCTGCCATCGAGTCTGAACATAAATTTAGTATTCTTCTTTCCGTGAGTTCAATCAACCTGTCAATGTGCAAACAAACTAGCTTATGTAGATAAGTTTCCAATGTGAATTAGACACTTACAACTGAATTAAGGCCTTCATAGTATGACACAGTTATCAAAATGACAGAGATAATACTTCAAATTCTATTTGGATAGAGGTAGAAAATGTATGAGTGAGAGTTATATTTGCATGTGTGTATAACCAAAAAGATCATACACATTGTAACTTTTCTAAAATATATTTATAGTTTTACCCCACAAATGTGTCCTTCCCCATTCAATGTGTTCGAGTGTGTGCATCTGAACCACCTGCCTATTAGAATGCAAGAGTAATAAGATATTTTCATGAATATGACTGAATAAGGGAGATCAAAGGCACTTTACTAAGAGAAATATAAAAAATAACCCTCCTACTTCTTAAGCTAGCCTTGTCAATATATAGCTGTTAGTCAAGGATCAATTTTGCTTCATAAACTGATTACATCATTAAGTGAAAAGATCATTTAAAAAGTAGAGTCTACTGGATTTATTAACAAAGTTGAAAAGACAACCTGCAGAATGGGAGAAAATATTTGAGAACCATGCATCTGATAGAGTTTGAATCCAGGATATATAAAGAACTCCTATAACTCAACAACAAAAAGACAAATCAATCAACAATGGGCAACGGACTTGAATAGACACTTCTCTAAAGAAGATGCACAAATGGCTAACAGGCACATGAAAAGATGTTCAATGTCATTAGGAAAATGCAAATCAAAACCACAATGACATACCCTTCACCCCACGATGACAGCTATCATCAGAAAAATGGAAAATAACAAGTGTTGGTGAGGATGTGGAGAAACTGGAACCCTCATCCATTGCTGGTGGGAATATAAAATGGTGCTAAATGGTGCGACCACTATGGAAAACAGTTCAGTGGTTCCTCAAAAAGTTAAACATAGAATTATCATTGTTGTTTTTGTTATTAGTTGCCATGGAGTAGATTCTGGCTCATGGTGGCCCCAGCAATTCCACTCTTAGATATATACTCAAAAGAATTAAAATCAAGGATTCAAACATTTGACCCCTGTACACCAATGTTCACTGCAGCATTATTCACAATAGCCAAAAGGTAGAAACAACCCGTGTCTATCAACAGATGAATGGATAAACAAAATGTGGCATATACATATAATATTATTCAGCCATAAAGAGAAATTAACTTCTGATACATGCTATGACATGGATGAACCTGGAAAACATTATGCTGAGCGAAATAAGTTAAACACAAAAGGATAAATATTATATGATCCCACTTATATGAAATATCTAGAATAGGCCAGTGCACAAAGACAAAAGTTTATTAGTGGTTACAAGGGGAAGTGGAGGGAGAATAGGGAGTTATTGCTTAAGGAATACTGAGTTTCTATTCAGAGTGATGAAAAAATCTGGAAACCAACAGTGGTGATGGTTACACAACATGGTGAATGTACTTAATGTCACTGAATTATCCAAGTAAAAACAGGTGAAATGGCATATGTTTTGCTATATATATTTTACAAGAAAAAAAAAATTTTTGAGTTACTCAGCAATTACAGTTATTAGGAAAAAAAAGTCTACTCTGGTATACCACTTCCCATTCATTAAACCATATACGTAGTTAGGTGAGCTAATCATTCAGACATGGACTGTGTGTGCCACCTATCTTAGGAGATTTTTAAGCTCTGAGATAAACTCCACAAAGAATGAATGTGTTGGAACCTGCTAAAAGGCACTGATGTTGTTTGCTATTGTTGTTAGATGCCACTGAGTCAATTCCAATTTGTAGCGACCCCATGTATGCAGAGTAGAACTACACACCATACGGTTTTCAAGGCTGTGACCTTTCAGTAGCAGATATCCAGGCCTTACTTTCAAGGCACCTCTGGGTGGATTTGAACCACTAACCTTTTGGTTAGTAGTCCAGGGCTTAATCATCTGTGCTGACCAAAAAGGTATAGAATCTCTCGTCAAAGCTGTTGATTAAATTCATGTGTTGTTTCACGCAGGGAATAAGTAAAAGCAGATTATAACTCAGAGGCTGCCTATCCTACCAGTAATCTCTGCAACCCAAGAGGCACCGATGTCTATTATAACATCTTCAAGTATGATTTCAAGTAACTCAAGTAAAAAAAAAACTCAACAGAGCTCCTATTTTCTCTTCTTCACTACCTATTAAAAGTTATTATTATAACAAAATTTTAATATAGTAAACAATATATCCAATAAATTTGACTCGAAAAAAAATTAAATACTTTCAACATTTGACCATTTGTCACAAATTAAGCATGTTTTAAGTCAGTTAATACTAACATATTCCAGCAAATATGTAATTAATTTAAAATATTAATTAGCTCTCCAAATATTATGTTCCCTTTCTTTGAGTCACATTCTTTTTTTTTTTTAAAGGAGAGGTTTGTCTTGTAGTCAAATATCCATTAGGAATGTGTCCCAGAAACCACCCATCAAGATGTATACTGTGCTGATTTTACTCTTCAACATCACTGGCAAACATACTGGCAAGACTCTTCTATCATGAGAATGAGCACGGTGGGCTTAATTAATACCAAGAATTCAACGAGGTTTGGATAACCTAAGAGAATTAAGGATTTTGTTCTATACATACAGAAGAGATCCTCTGGCAAGAGGAATAAAAGTAAGACATTACAAAATCATCTTTGAGATTTGACCCAAATGTACATTTTTTCCTTCCTGCATATAAGTAAATCATGTCTAAATTATCATTTTAAATTTCCTACTAAGGCCTTTTCTCTCTCCTCCTCCAATGTTTAAAAACAGTAGCTGTAAAGGAAAGCCTTAAAAAAACAAAGAGGTTACAACACAGTAAGTGTAACGCTGTAGACTCTGAAGCGAAGAAATCTAGGTTCTAATGTATTAGCTCTGCCAACAACCGCCAGGTAACCTTGGGTAAATGACCCTTCTGAGGAAAACAAATAAGGAAACTGAAGCTCAGGTAGGATAAATGACTTACCAGAGTCACACAATTAAAAGTGGCAGAGCTCAAATCTCAACCTATGATTTTTAACTCAAAGTCCAGAGCCCTTTCCACTACAGTTTTCCTCTCTCACAACACAGGCACTCACATTCAACAGGAGAGTAGAGGTACCCATGCTTTCACCCACTGCCACAAATCTCTAACAGCAGGATTTCAGGCACAGGCAAGGAGGGCTTGCCAGATGATCTGCACATCATGACACAGTGGCAGCCATTCATGTGAGCTCCTTCCTTCCTGCTTTTATTATGACATCCCTAGTACTATTTACCCTTTGAATATGTAGCCTTGTTCTAAAAATTTCATCAAGATTTTGCATTTTAATCCACTCAATTTAACAAGCACTTGTTATTTTATACATTAACATCTGTGTACTACTATTTTATGTTGTAAAAAGCACTGTCAAACACGTGAAACATTATATGCCTACCCACTGTAAGAGCTCTCAATACTGTGGAGACACTCTGTAGTAAATATAAAATAAGAAAATAGTAAGATTCACTCATGTGCTGAACCTTGTCATTTATGTGGATAGTCAATATGCATACCCAATGTTTTAACACTATGATGAAGCCACAAACAGGAATTCCAAAAACATCCTATGTACTTTTAAGCTATATTAACTTAGGTTATAAGAAAAACAAAAAATATTTAAATACTAATTTTATAAAAGCTATTAATAATTAGAGAAACATTATACAAGTATTATACAATGTATCCTTATTTTATAACCAGTGAAAAACAGATATATAGAGTAGAAGAATTTATCAGGGTTAGAGACCAGGTGCAGGAGTTAAGAATAAAAAAGCAATTTCCTAAGAAACCAAGTAATGAAAAAGAGAAATAAACAAATGGAAACTATTATGAACTTATCTGAAAAGTAAATTTATAAAGCAATTAAAGGAGGAAGCATCCCCCTCTCCAAATATTTACCATTATCCTTGCTGCTGTTTTCTTCAATAGTCATTTGTTCAGCCAATTCAGACAATGATTCATCAATAGTCTGGCTTCCTCGAAGCGTGAGGGATAGCCGCCTCTTAAATTTTTTCATCCTATCAATTTAATGTGGCTTGAAAAATCCTAAAAGAACAGAATGAACAAAAAATTAAAGCTGTGAATATTTTACTGCTCAAGAAAAACATCACTCTGGGTTTATCAGAAACCTTCAAAACAGGGATATAATGAACAATTCTCACTTCTGCCAAACATCACAAAATCAAATTCCTTCTTTAAAAAGATCTACCCTCTCTCATTAATGCTACACTTATTAGACATCATTAGAAGAGCAGGAATTCCACATAACTAAAGATGATGACTTTAAGCAATACAATTTAGAAGGATTTGGAAATTTTCCTAAAATATGCTTTTTAAACACCAATATAAAAAACACATCAACACTATCTTGATGCTTAAATTCTATGTCAATCATCAAATTGGAACCAGTCAGAAGTATCTTCAGACATAAATGAAGAGGGGTGGAAAAGGGGGTAGATAATGAATGATGCTTGACACTTTATTGAACAACTTCAACAAGAAACTTTTTCCTTTTTTTTTTTTTTTTTTAGTTTTAAGTGGTAGACTTCTTGCCTTCCATTTCCAGCCAACACACCTCATGCACAGCCACCATCTGTTTGTCACTGGAGGCTTGTGTGTTGCTATGATGCTGAACAGGTTTCAGTGGCACTTCCAGACTAAGACAGGCTAGCAAAAAAGGCCTGGCAATCCACTTTCAAAAAAAATCAGCCAATGAAAACTCTATGGATCACAACAGTCCAATCTGCAACTGTTCATGGGGATGGCACAGGACCAAGCAGTATTTTGTTTCATTGTGCCTGGGGTCCCCATGAATCTGGGGCCAACTCAACAGCAGCTAACAGCAACAATGACAACACACTGACAGTAATTCACGTCATTTGTTTACAGATATCAGATATTTAAGGTAAACTGAGCTATTGCCAATCTCAATTACCCTTTTGCTTCTGTAAATCTTTACACTAGAGATTCCTCCTTTGCAAGGCTCCAGATCCACCCTGTGCATTAAATTAAGCAGGCTTGGAGAGCTCCAACCCTGTACCTTCCAAAGAAAGCACTTGCCCTTGATTGGCACCTAGAAGATAACCTCTAAGCTCTTGGAATATTCTACATGATAAGAATATCTTTGTATTCCTGAGATCTCAGACCTCACCAGGTACTTTATGTTAACAATATACGATTTAAGGGGAATACATGTTTTTGTGTGCCTGAGACTTTTGGCCACACTGTATTAGTTTGATCTCTGCAGAGGAGGCTGGAGACTTAAATTAAGTAGCTAAAGTCAGTCATGGGCACTCCATGCCTACGTGACTGACCCCCAGTATAAACCCTGGGCACCAAGGCTTGGGTGTGATTCTGTGGCTGGCAATGCATGTTGTCACACATCACTGCTGGGGGAATTAAGCGTGGTCTATGCAGCTCCAGTGGGAGAGGACAACTGGAAGCTTGCACCTGGTTTCTCCTGGACTTCACCCTATCTGCCTTTTTCTCTTTGTTGATTTTAATTTGTAATTTCTGCTATAATAAATCATAACCAGGACTATAACAGTTTTCCTGAGATCTGTGAGTCCTTCTAACAAATCATCAAACCTGAAGGTGGAACTGGGGACTCCTGACACACGTAAGAAATCTGTATGTCCAAACCAAAACTCCTAAGAGCTAGCAGTTCACAACTACCAACTTTTCAGACTCCAGCTTTCTTAAACATAGTCACATGGCCAACAAGGGCTATCCAACTATATAGATATCACCAGCTGAGAACCTTGATACACCATTTTTTAAGAGTTCGCTGACCATGGGACAAGCAAACATAAAAGAACAAAGTAGGAAAAAAAAAAATACTATTTTAAAATTAGTTTCCATAACATAGTTAACATTCTGTAACATAGGCCAAATATATATATGAATTGAGTACCTAGTACAGCATACAGCTAAGCTATCCGAAACAGTAGTTAATGGCTACATGTGGCTATTGAACACTTGAAAAGTGGCTGGTCTCAACTGAGATGTTCTGTACATGTAAAATACACGCTGAGTTTCAAAGACTAAGTGATAAGAAAAAAGAATGTAAAAATATCTCAATAACTGTTATATTGACAATACGCTGAAATAATATTTTGCATATATTAGGTTAAATAAAAATTATTAAAATTAATTCTACCTGTTTCACTTTTACTTTTTTTTTTTAATGTAGCTACAAAAAGATTTTTTTTAATCACGTATGTGACTCGCATTATATTTCTATTGGACTATGCTGGTGTACAGCACCAAGCTGACCTTGGTGGTTTTAAGTGGGTACCAAAAAAAAAAAAAAAAAAAAAAAAAAAACCTTACAAACCTTAACCTTTTCTTCATACAGTATATTTGAACAATATTTTAGGAGAAGTTCTACATGTTTGTAACTGAGAACAGTATGCACTGCATTTATTTAGCATCTAAGAGTGAAGAGAATTTTGGTTTATAAAATTATAAGTATTATCTATTCTGTCAAGAATAAGAAAGGTATTTCTAACTCATAGCAGCAAGAGACCTGACAATCTGTTCCCATTAAGATTACAGACTAGAAAATGGGAACTTAATATGTTGTGTAAATTTTCACCAAAAACACAAAAAAATATTACGGAGGAAAAAAAAATAGATTGTTGTTACTATTATTAGGTGCCATCGAGTCGGTTCCAACTCATAGCAACCCTATGTACAACAAAACAAAACACTGCCTAGTTCTGTGCCATCCTCACAATCACTGCTATGTTTGAGCCCACTGTTGCAGCCACTGTGTCAATCCATCTTGTTGAGGGTCTTCCTCTTTTTTGCTAACCCTCTACTTTATCAAGCATGATGTTCTTCTCCAGGAACAGATCCATCCTGACAACATGTCCAAAGAATGTGACACGTAATCTCGCCATCCTTGCTTCTAAGGAGCATTCTAGTTATACTTCTTCCAAGACAGATTTGTTCGTTCTTTTGGCAGTCCACGGTGTACTCTAGAAAACTCAATGTGGCAGTCTTACTCTGTCACACGGGATTGCTATGAGTCAGATATCGGCTAGATGGCACACAAAAGCAGATTCCTAGGTTTTTCTCCCACAGAATTGCTGGGTGAGCTTAAACTGCCAATCCAGTTAGCAGCTGAGCATTTAACTATTGTGCCACCAGGGCCAGACCCTTTAGTATTCACTTATTCTATCTTTTGAGACTTAAAAACTGTTGGTGTTTCTCTTAAAATGTTGCATTCAGATCTGGTCATTAAACCATGATTGTAAATAAAATCAAAACACAGTCTGTAATACAGTCATTAGTAACAACAAATGCTATTATTATTATAAGTTATTCAGCCCGATTACATTCATTTTACTTTTATTTTTGTAGCAGTCAATTCATATATCAAGCCTAACATCAACTCCTCTAGCTCTTGCTCACATAAATGCCTGTTAAGCCGGGTTTCATCTATTCTATACTTTAGTGACTTTTTTTCAGCCCAAATTACATGTCTCTAGTGAATTTTGGTGTATATTTGGTAGATATTCTTATCATGTAGGATATTCCAAGAGCTCAGAGAGGTTGGTAGCCTAGTAGTATTGCAGTCTGTCTGTCAATAACACTCTGAATATTGATTCTGTGAGTTATGTCATTAGTAATCTCACCAAGTTTTATGTCGTAAGCAAATCCTTATTCTCATGCACACACTGATAAACATGTTTAACAGAGCTATGAGGGCTAGGAGGTTAGTTAACTTGAACTGAACTTTATGATGCATATATATATATGTATGTATGTATGTGTGTGTGTATATATACACACACAATATATGTTATATATTATGTACATTATATGTAATATAATATACATATTATATATTATATATAGTATATATTATGTGTGTATACCTGTTATATATTATGTATATTATATATAATATACATATTATATATTACATATATAATGTGTGTGTATATATACATATATATACACACATACATACATACATATATATATACAATGCAAAATAATCTTTATGCTTCTCTGGATGTCAAAAAGACCTCTAGCTTTTTGTCAGAGGTAGATCAAATTAAAAAGGAAAAAAGGGGGAAAGAAGCAGTGAAGGACAGTAAGAATGACAGCATATAACTTTTCATATTGCAATTTATGTATATAATTCCAATTACATGATTCCTTTCATTTAAACGACTATTTAACACTTTTTTGAAAAAATACAGACAGCTGAAAATGTACAAAATCAGTTCTCAGCTATAAGTGCTTAAAATGAACCTATGAGTATATTGCACCTTACTTCACTTTAGACTAAAACTGTTCTGGGACTGTCTGCTGTACATGAAGAGAAATGTTCATGTTTCTTTTATCCTAAAACTGTAACTATTCGATTTGCTCACAGAATACAGGTAACCAATCTATAATGTCTACTGATGTTTATTTACTCTAAGAATGGAAAAACACACACACACACACTTTTTCAAGATAACAGCCTAAAGTTGTAAATGCTCCCAAACTAGACCTTCTACTATAATGCCTTTACTTGTTAAGACGGTGTCATATTATAGCCCTTTTGTACTTCCAATGAGAAAATTTCTGGGCATAAATTTACCTTAGAATTCAAATTCTTCAAATATTAAAGGCCTTACTAGAATGGCGATCCTTTGTTTATGGTTTTGAAATATTCTTAAGACAATCTTTTAATAATTTAGAAGAAGTTGAAAAAGCTAGAAGAGTTGGTTCATTTTTAATACCTAAATGACTTTATTTTAGAAAAAGTAAAATTTACATGTAAAGCAAATCTAACATTTTAAAGAATAAGATATAAGATTGAAATGGCACAATAATTCTTTTCCACTTTATCTTGATGATGTCAGTCTTTCCTAAATATCAAGTAGAGTCATATGACTTCACAATAAAGATAACTTTGTTATTTATTTCATTATAACATTTTCTGCACTGATTTTGCTTTAAATGAAACTTGTCATAAATGAGATGAACTCATCAATATTAAGCGGCCGGTAAGCAGATTTTCTATTATTTTCCTCATAGTGATT